AGAGCTGCTGTGAAGGTCATGCTTAGAAAGCAGTCAGGTAGCTGATAAGCTGTAATTCGTAATACTATTAATAACGATATCATTACTGATAAATTATTTAGCAGTTCCTAGTGAGGTGGTTCAATGGAAGCCAACTCCAGAAGCTGCTTGTTTCTGGGTGCACTGAATAAAAACCACAAGCTCCTTGACCTGCCACAGTGACCAGAGACCCTCAAGTGCAGCAGTGCCCCCAGGCCCTGGGGCGGCAGCCTCCCTCTCTGCCTGGCCTGCAGTTGGAGCTGCAGCCATATGCTGTCTTTCACGGCATGTGGAAACAAACACAAAGGCTGGAACTGTGTGTGAAATAAATGCTGCTTGTGGGGGAATGGTGCATTTTACTTGCTATAAAGCCAACGTAGCCAACAAAAAAGTTCTTAGTACAAAGAGTTCTGGGAGTTATCAAGAGTGGTGACCAGGAGCATATATTGTGGGTAATATTTGCCTGTACTTTATGAAGTAAAGTTTAAATGGGATAATGGGTGTAAACTGCTTGTTTCCTAGCACATAGTAAAACCCTTGATATAAATGTTTCACATTTTGCAAATGTGGGTTTTTGTTTTGGGGTTGGGGGAACAGTATTCCACACTCTGAAACAGATGTGTTCTGGTACAAAAGAAGAAAAACCACGTTTATTTTACAAGGCAGTATTTTCCTAAAGTATTATACATAAAGGAAAATTGAGCTGTCTGTAGGAAAACAATATAATTTTAGGAAATTACAGAAGAATCAACATTGTGCTTAAAACTTTAAAATAGTTTTTAAAAAATAGCACAGCAAGTGAATATTGCAAGGTACGAACAGCCTTCAAAAAGGATGTGAACACAATGATACGGAAGCTCAATATCAAAACTGCTAGTGATGGGTCACTTTCAAATGCATTTAGGCTAAGAGAGCACTGCTTCAATCTTAATAGAAACAAAGAACTTGGCCCTAACTGAAACATGGTCCTTTCGTAATACAGTCAACTCTCAATTATCCACAGTAATGAAAAGGAGCACTGACAAAATTTTGAAATGGTGAATAATCCCAAAGTTAATTTTGAGAAGTGCCCTTGGATTTATGTTTGGATGTGAGAAAGACTGACATCCCTGGCACTCACAGCGTTGATAAAGTAAGTGGAACGCCCACTTGCCTTCTCCCCTTTTTCCCCCTCCTCAATGGGAAAAGGCAAAATCACAAACTACTAAAAAGCCTAAAATATAACTGGCCTCCTTGATTCTGTTTTACACCTCCTCTGGAGAAGGGGATAGGAAAGAAAACTGTTAAAACTTTGTCTTCCTCATGTAAAAAGCTAAAACGTGACAATAAAATTTTGCAAATGAGATGTGGAATAATTAGCTGATTATAAATATTATTTTAACTTGTGCTTTTTTTCTTGCCTACTAGTATCTATACCACCAAACTTATCTGGATATTTTGACAGCTTTCTAAATTATCCAGTTGCATCCTGTTACCCAAGGAGAGAATAAATTTGCATAAAAGGAGTTTGTTATGATCAGTCCCAAAAGAATCGCAATGTTTCAAATAAACCAGGAAGTGGAGGTGAAGAAATAAAACAGTCCCAAGATAAATCCAAAAAGTATTTCAGGAAAAAAACTATGCAGTTTTGTTCTGCGCTTGGTGGTTCTGTTTTTGTTTTGTTTTGTATTGTATTACCTTGAACTACAAGTCTTCCCCTTCCAGGGAAGCAACTATTCTTCTTCAGGGTTGTCCTCAAATTCTCATCTTAAAAATTAAAAGGTAAAAAATACCAGATTTGATAATAAAGCCTTATGTTTTAATATACCAAATAATTATAACTTCAAAAGCATTTTAACTGCTTTGTCATTTCTCAGAAAAGTTCTGAGCATACTTGAAACTTGAAAATTCTAAAATAAATCTTGGATAGATAATTCTACTAAATGTGGAATTTAGTTTTCTTAAGCTTCTACCTAATAGTTTTTATACCTACTTTCCAAAAGTAGGAACAGTGCCAGATTTCCACAAAAGCCTAAGAAAGCAGTCTATCCATCCATACAGCCAAACTCTTGCTCCAGTGAGTGTATATTAGGTCCAAATTATAAAGCTTTTATGTGTGTCAATGTGTAAATGTTAATCACAGGGCTATTTAATATAACTGTGTTCAATGTCTATAGCGCAGCTGCAGTCTAAACATTTTCTAAAGTGCCTATAATATGCATATACAAATTAGCAACGTAATATCAGCATTACAGAGAAATTCTTTCATAGAGTATACAACAGAATAGGCCTAGAATTTAAATTGAAACTACACATTTTTATATCCTTATCAGTTGATTTTGGAATGCAAGCATAAAGAAACAATTCCAGTTCAATCATACATTTCAGAGAATTATTAACTGTGCTAGGACAAAAAAAAATTCTTGCTTGTGCTTATTTAGAAAAGGCCGTTTTGAGATCCAGGAGTATATGATATTTACAATACAAAGGAACATCTCCAATTCTATACAATAGACAGTAGCAACTGAAGCTTAGTGAGTTTTTAATTATAAAGAGATTGTGCAAATATTTAAAGTGATTATCAACCACTGTTAAATCCAAAAATTACATTAAAATCTTGGCTAATCTGAATGGCAGTTCAGGAGTTTAAAAAATAGGAACCTAGACAAAAGTCATAGATAGATAGTATTGATAAAGGGGCCCAACCTTGACAGTTAGCCAAGTTTCAGAAATGTGGCCCCATGACCATGTATTTCCATGGCTTTGGAAACCTGCTTATTGACTCCAATTAGTTTAATGGGTGGGAATATAGGCCCATAATAGAGCATTGATAGGAACGGTGTAAAGAAAGAAGCCCCCTCCATACACCCACCCAGGGGATTCAATGAGTTCACCCATGGGGTAAATCTAGACAGGGCCCTGGTGTTGCCGTTACAACCCTGAGTACACGACGAATGACTGCACCGCTGTAGCCTGATGGTGGCTTGCAGGCACTTGGCTTCCACGCCTGCCTCCAGCTGGCCACTGACTCCAGGGAGGCACTGAGGACCTCAGGCAGGGCTCATCAGATGCCTCCAGACCACCTGGGCCACACCAAGGCAGGGAAAAGCCCCTTATGCCCACACCTGCCTCTACCTGCCCTCTCCTTTGTTCCTGGAGTTCCTTATACAGCCTTCTTGGTTTGACTTGTTGAGTCTTTAAATTTCAATAAGTAGGAACTTTATGCTGCATTGTCATCTAGCATAGAAAGTTTTAACACTGCAAAGGAAAATGCATACTCTGCCTTCTAAACCCTATGGATGTTTTGGCCACCTAAACCTAACAAAAAGTTCTAGGAAATGACTTGAACTACATGTACAACTAGGAAAGCAGATTCTTCCTTGAGTAGTTTGTGAAGGATGCCAAATGGAGGCTTCAGGGAAAAACACAACAGGCCTCTTCTTATTTCTTAAGATACAAACTAACGTGACATAGAAAACACGTGTCACAATGCTGACAGAGCACAAGATAATGCCAAGAGAGCATGCTCATGGATAGTTAGAAGTATTTTTCTACCTCTAACATTGATGGTTCTCATTTCATTTGGCCATATTTAAATTTTCCTGGATTCTTAACTGTGCCTCATAGATAGATTCGAAGAAATGGGAGATAACCAGCTCACATGAGAATACCTGGTATAAATGGAGATTAGGAGTAGAATTCTGAAGAGAGCTAAATAAATAAGACTATTCACTATTTTGTGCACGTGAGAAAAGAGAACATATACAACAGACCGTGGATATTAGTATAGTAAAATGAATGAATATTATGCAAAATATTTTCTCTTAGTGAACTATTTCAACTGCTTTTGCATTTGCATAAAAAAATCCATGCATCGTACTGAATTCTAATCCATTTCTCCCTCAAGTCATTCTAATGCTTCATACAACCAAATGAAGCAGAATTAATCAAACCTATTAGATTCATTCCTAATCCCTAAAGGACTTCTGTCTTTAGCATTTCCATGCTAACTAAAACTATTAATTGATTTTTTTTTCCTGTAAAATTCAGATGTGGCTGCCTCCTAAATACAATACCTATATAACTTCCTAAAAAGTTTTCCCCAGATTTGAATAGTAATTAAGAAAAGCAGGGAAATGCTGGGGAACTCACCCAAGAGGCCAGCTTAAATGCTGTAACACCTTCTCCAGCTGGCCCAAGCCAAGTACATCTCTCCTTCCCCTGGGTTCCCAGAGCATTCTGGGTACTGTTACTGCATGTGTCATACCCCTGTTGGATTATGGGCCCCTTCATGGTGGGAATCAGGTCTTATTCATTCTGTATCCCCCCTTAGCACCCTGCAAAGTGTAGGTGCTCAGCTAAAACTGTATTGATCATGAAACAGATGAGGTTTCTTCTTATGTGAAGGTCTAGCTCAGCCCCAGTCATGGAGTGTACAGACACTGGCCATAACCAGGGGCTGCGCTGGCTTCCAGTGACCTCCCAGAAGTAAGCCGAGGCAGCTCTGGTCCAGCCCCAGTGCAGGTGTTTGGGTGGTGGGGAGGCAGCAAGGAATGGCATCTGCCTGGGAACACTCTGTTCCTCTCAAGTGAGCTGCTTCCCACATGGGACTAGCAGGACAGGAGTGGCTGTGATCATGCTGAAAGGAATGCCAGGAGTCTTTCTGCGAAGGACTGGCTACTTAGAAATACTGTCTCCTTCACTCCGGGTAGCTCCTCGATCTGATCTGTGATACTCTGTGATCACTGCTTCACTGCTTTCAAAGTTCCCAGTGAAATTAAGGCTGGGTCACAATTTATGACACCAGATGCTACATAGAAAGTAAGTCACGATACAAAAGAAAACTATAATAAAAAGAATGTCTTAGTTGTAAGACTAATTTAAGAGTGAAACTAATTGGCAGACCACCGAACTGCTATGGTTGTTAAAGAGGGGTAGAAAATATCAACAGCATTGGAAAAAAGGATCCATCAGACAAAGATACAAAAGCTCAGCGTGGATCAGAGGCTGCAGCTTCCTGCCTGGACTCTCACACGGTGGTTTCTATTGTTTCAATCACTTCCAGATCAGACTGCGAAGGGGAGAGAAGGGTGCACTCATCCGGTTCCCAGCTGCTCTCTGGACTGTAATCTTCCTCTGAACTCAGTTCTGCTCCTTCTTCTGTGTCCTCATCACACGATTCCACATAGTGAGCCCCAATTGCATTGATCCCAGAGTCCTCAGAACTTGAGGGAGAAGAGCAGTGATCTATTTTTGGTGTATTGCTCTCTTTTGAAATTAAGGCATCGTGTGCAGAGACCTCCTCGGGGCTCATTTTGTGGGAATGTGGCGCTGGCTGCTTCTGCACGTAACACATCTTCCCATTAATACATTTAACCTGATAGTTGTCAATAAAGAGGTCTGAAATCATACAGTACCTTGGTGAGTCAGGGGGAAGGGGAGGCTGGAAGACAGATGCAAATTTCAAAAAATGTTCCGTGAGCGAGACTGAGATCTGAATGGTGTTTGTGGGTTCCCGAGGCCTGGCAGGAATCTCGGTGCTTGGAAGCTGTTCCACAGGGGTCATAGGCTGATACACATATTTGCCTGTGGAGACACACAAAAGACAATTAAATTCCACAAGTATTACACAAACTATATTAATGTAGCCACAATGGTTTCTTTCTGAGGACTCAGAATGTTTTTTAAAAAATATTTCAGTAACACCTCAAAAGAAACTAGTAATAAAATCATTCAACATTGTTATAATCAATTAAAAATAGAGCAGGGCATACAATAATTTTCATCTAAAAAAACTCAATATACTTTCTAAATCTTTGAGTCTTTCTAATGCCTCTGAAATAGGTAGGTGGATACTATAATCCTTATTTTGTAAACAACTTTAACTGGTTTACCCATCAAACTGGAACAAAGAATGTCCATAATACAGTATGGTGAAAATACAGGTTGTAAAACAGTATAACATACCATAAAATTATAATTCCAGTTTTATCTTTAATAATATGTTAATATATACACTTAACAAATGAGCATTATGTTCTTCCAGTTTTTATCAAAATTATGGAAGACTTTCACGTTCTAGGTTTCTGTTTTAATCAGAATATACACATACTCCTATTTACTGAATATGTTATAGCCTATTGGATTGTCCTTGACGGCTGCGGTAAGGTTTAGGGTGTGAAATGATTTCTCTCAAGACCCAAAGTTCATCAGGGGCCTCAACAGGAGGTGTTCTCCCCAGTGCCACCTCTGCTGGCGCTAAGCAATCCAAGCAGAGGCAGATACAGGGAGACAGGCCGGATGTGTCTAAGAAACCGAGTAAAAGCTACATGGATCCGGTCCTACTGTGTCCCCTTCCTCATTCTTTACTTCATTCGGCATTTAGCAAAGTCTCCCATGTGTCTAGTACTAAGGAAATACAGTTGAAAATTACCCAATCTGTAAGTCTAAAATGATTTCCAATAGAAAGCTGAAAGGGGAGGGGAAAGCGCTGAAAAACCGAGAGACAGCAGCCACAATTGTGGGCAGCATCTCGGACTTAATGTAGTCCATGTTGTATCTCCTGCACACACTTATGACAGGGCTTTTTAACCTCAGCGCTACTGGTGTTGTTGACCCGATAGATAATTCTTTGCTGTGTGGGGGCGGGGGCTGTGCTGTATACTGTGAATGTTTAGCAGCAACCCTCGCCTCTGCCCACTAGATGACAGTAGCAGCTCCTCCCCCAAATTAATCAAAAATGCATCCAGATGTTATCAAATACCCCCTGAGGGGCAAAATAACCCCTGTCAGAAGCCACTGATTAACGATATCCTCATGAGCATCTTTTTGCAGGCAAATCACTCATTGCTCCTGTTTTATTTCTTTGTAAGATTGAAAATCCTTCTAGGACAGGAATCATATTTGTAAGGAAGGCTATCTTAGGTTTTTTAATGTTAATTAAGCCATGGAAGAATAGCAATTTCAGATCAGAATTGTAAGCGGTAATTATACCACAAATCATGCGACATCAGTAATCTATTAAGATCAAAAAGCCTGCTTACATTTTTTATTTGTTTCTTGATTCCTGTACATAGCTTAGATACTGCAATTTCTTTGTAACTAAATTATTCTAAAAATATCTTCAGTTTCATCCTGGAGTACCACATGGAAAATATATGTTTAAAATTACTAAGCCTCTGGGTTCCCAGGTCTGCTTCCAAGGCTAGACATATATAATGCAAACCCTATGGTCTGATTAAAAATACAAGTTAGAAGAACCCAGTAATACCTGCCTGGGGAACTACGTTTAAAATATACCAGGTATCTTCATTTCTTTATATCTGTAAAAGAAGGTGTTACTACTTGTCAGACAGAGTTGAAATCGGGTCAGAACTAACAACTGGCATGGTTGAACCTCTGCCTCTAAGCATTGTGGATGGACATTATCAACTTAAGGGCCAAAGCAGGCCAATCTTTAAGCCTTCTTCCAAATCCTCCAGCCCCAGGATTAGAGAAACACATTCAGGCACAGAACAGAGAAGGGACTTAGAGAATTTGGAGAATTACCCTCTTATGTCCACAGAGTGGTGAACAAAACATATGGAATGAGGTTTGGTCTTTTCTATTCTTGGTCAGTGGTTATTGAACTCAGGGGGCTGTGGATGGCAGGCACTCAAGAAATGCTTGTTGCAGAATGCTGATTAAGTTCATGCCAGCCTAAGAGACCTCTGGTTTAGCTATCCACTTGTCATAGCCACAGGAGCGTCCTGGCAGATGTTTCATGCCTTCCAGAACCATCCTCAGATCCATAGGGAATAGGGCTCTATTTAGTCCAAAGATGGAAGGAAGAGAGGTAAAACCTGACTTTGGACTTCTCCAACCTCCTTTTCCTACTCCCGCTGAACCCTCCTCAACCCATCCTTTTTTTCTTTCCCTTTCTTTCTGCTTCTTCATGATTTCTTTGCTTTCTTTCCTCTTTCTTTCTCTGGTCCCCTCTCCTCCAAAGCTCTATTCTTCTTTCTTGAAGTGTACCTGGCCCGAATGTTTGTGTCCTCCCCCGAAATTCATATGTTGAGGCCCTAGTTCCCAGTGTCATGGTATTTGGAGGCAGGACCTTTGAAAAGTAATTAGATTTAGAGGACGTCTTGAGGATGGGGACTCCATGATGGGTTTATTGCCCTTGTAAGAAGAGAAAGAGACCAGAGGCCCCTTCTCTCCTCCATGTGAGGATACAGCATCTGCAAACCAGAATGAGTGCCTTCACTAGACACCAAATCTGCTTTGATCTCGGAATTCCCAGTTTCTAGACTGAGAAATGTTTGTTGTTTAACCTACACAGCCTGTGTAGCTGGACATATATAATGCAAACCCTATGGTCTGATTAAAAATACAAGTTAGAAGAACCTAGTAATACCTGCCTGGGGAACTATGTTTAAAATATACCAGGTATCTTCATTTCTTTATATCTGTGAAAGAAGGTATCACTACTTGTCAGGCAGAGTTGAAATCAGGTCAGGACTAACAACTGGCATGGTTGAACCTCTGCCTCTGAGCATTGTGGTATTTTATTATAGCAGCCTAAAGTGACCAAGACATATAGTAAAAGAAAGAGAAATGCAGGCCAGGCATGGTGGCTCACACCTGTAATCCCAGCACTTTGGGAAGCTGAGGCAGAAAGGATCACTTAAGGCCAGAATTTCGAGACAGCCTGGGCAACATAGCAAGATCCTGTCTCTAGAAAAAGGAAAGAGAAATGCATCTGGGAGAGGACGGACATATACCGCATTCCAGATTCCATTTCCTTTTACAAGGTACACCTATTAAATGTGTTTATTCAGAGCTGGGGTGACTGCCCATTGTCTGGTGACATGAGGATACAGATGCAAAGAAGGCAGAGAAGAAAAAAACAGTAAAGGTGGCCACATGAAAAAGTTGAGTAACTACCTTTCAAATATCAAGTATTATATAACACTACTGATTTGGTTATAAACACAAATAATTTCTTAAAAACTCACATTAAGGATTTAATTCTGTAAAGAGTCCAGAGGCATTGGTGCTTTGCCCTAATTTCTAGTAACTTATTGCTGTGGTACACTATGCTGAGAATCCATGCTCATAATGATAGCCCTGAAGCATTGCAAGATCCTGAATTACAGAGAGATCCTATTACGTTTACTGTACTTACTAAGAGAATAAAATGAACTAACATACTTCTTCAATAGCAAAAATTGAAACAAAGGGGTTTCTGGCCATTTAGCCATGAAATTTAATAACCACTATATTCTCTGCACGATCTTCTTAATTAAGGGTTTACTGTGTTATTTAAAGAATAAATGGATGAGAATTTTTAAAATTTAAACCCCTAAAAGGAAAAAATAATCAGAGTCAGGGCTTGGAGAAAAGCAGAGGGAGAATTAAAAGAAGGATCACTATCTGATACAGCAATTCCACTTCCACGTATGTACCTAAAAGAACTGAAAGCAGGGTCTCAGAGATATTTGTACATTCACGTTTGTAGGAGCTGCATTCACAATAGCCAAAAGATGGCAGTGACCCAGGTGTCCGCAGATGAACAGATGAACAAGGATGTTTTCTATATAAAATGCAATATTATTCAGCCTTTAACAGGAAATTCTGACACATACTCCAACATGGATGAACCTTAAGGACATTATGCTAAGCCAGTCACAAGACAAGTACTGCATAATTCTGCTTACTTGATGTACCTAGAGTAGTCAAAGTTATAGAGACAGAAAGTAGAATAGTGTCTTCCAGGAGCTGGGGCATAAGGGGGCATGGGGAGAGTTTAATGGGTAGAGTTTGAGTTTTACAAGATAAAAAGAGTAGTGGAGATGGACGGTAGTGATGGTTGCACAGTATGTTTTTTCATCCATTCAGCCAGCCTTTGTGTTTTGAGTGGGGCATTCAGACGGTTAACACTGAGTAATAGAATTGATATGGGGGATGCTGTTCTGTTCATGTTGGGTAGCAATTTTATTGCTTTTTTTTCCCTCTCTTGTGCTATAGTTTTATATGAGCTGTGAGTTTTAGTTTTTGGGTGATTTTACTCTGGTGGGTATCTATTGTGCTGATCCACATATAATGCAGTTCTGAGTATTTCCTACAGGACACGTCTGGTTGTGACAAATTCTCTTAGTGTTTGCTTGTCTGGAAAAGACTTTATTTTCTCTGTCAATTATGAAACTTAGTTTTGCAGGATACAAAATTCTAAGTTCACAGTTGTTCTGTTTAAGAAGACTGAAGATGGGACCCCAATCCCTTCTGGCTTATTAGATCTCCAGTGAGAAGTCTGCAGTTACCTTGATGGGTTTTCCTTTGTAGGTCAGTTGCTTTTGTCCTGTTGCTTGCAGAGTTTTCTCCTTTATTTTGATTTTGGCCAGGTTGATGACTATGTGTCTTAGAGATGTCCTATTTGCTATGAATCTTCCTGGTGTTAGATGATCATCTGGTATCTGGATGTCTGAATCTCTGACAATACCAGGGAAGTTTTCCTCAGTAATTCCCTCAAATAGATTTTCCATGTTTCTTACTTTTTCTTCTTCTGCCTCAGGAATACCTATAATTCACATGTTAGTTTGCTTTGC